CTGCATGGCAACTGACTCTCATGACTCTATCTTTAGTTCACGATGGTGACGTACAGAGTCTTCTGGCATTTGCTGAGCCTGATCATTTTAATGATTTAATCTTGTAGTAATGGTGCAAGATCACACAGTTATCTTTACAGCAGATACACATGTCAATGTTTCTTTGATAGATGCCTTTTTGACAGAATGCAGGTGCTGGCTGGAGAGATTATTTGAGTTTTCAAAAATGCAACACATCTGATGCACATACAGTATCTATCCATTTTAGCAGTGTGAGGAGATTGTATTGAGCCCATTACAGTAGATCCCTGCAAATATATACACCAGGGTGACACCCCTACTCTTTTCGAGAAACGCCCTGGGATTTCTAATGACCACAGAGAGTCAGGACCTCTGTTTTACATCTCATCCAAAGGACAGCGCCTGTTTACATTATAGTGTCCCTGTCACTATACTGGGGCATTAAGAACCACATGGACCGCAGGGTGAGCGCCCCCTACTGGCCCCACTAACACCTCTTCCAGCAGCAACCTTAGTTTTTGCCAGGAGGTCTCTCGTCTAGGTACTGACCAGGCTCACACCTCCTTAGCTTCAGTGGGCTGCCAGTTGAGAGTTGCAGGGTGATATGGCTGCTGGCTTTATGTGTTCATGTACACAGCAGCGCCACCTGGTGTCAACCATAGAGAGTTGCCAGTAATAAGCAGAGTGGCAGTAAGTGACTAATGAGAGGATTTTAACAACTTGTACCTTTCAGTCAACAGAGCAGCGAAGGGACCAAGACATTCTTTAGCTTCATATTAACGTCTCTGGATGCTGCACCTTGCCTCTTTGCATCTGTCCTCACTGCCTTTTCTGGCATTTTTATCTCATTATAAATGAATGAGCTGAATGAGCCTGAACCTGCAGTTGTCCAGCATGGAGAATCTCACACACTGACCTGTACAGCTTAAGGATTTTCATTCAGCCACTACTAGATGCACTGGGTCAATTAGGCCGCTGGGAAGGGGCTGTAGTGGGTGTTCAGTTCACACCTGCAGAACTGTCGGTCTATTCCCTAGTCAAGAATAGTTCAGGGCAGATACTTCAGACAGAACTCCAGAAGCACACTGCACTGAGCAGCCTGAAGACTGAAGACACTGCTGTGTATTACTGGCCCTGTGCTATCAAATTCAGTATCTCCAGGGGATTCCCAGAGAGCACCGCGCAAACTGATCCAAGCTCTCTCCTGCTCCCTCATAGCCCGGCTCAACATCTGAAGGCTGAACACACTGTCACCCAGCCAGCTGGCTCTGCGTTTTGGATATGCACTCAATGGTTTGCCTACAGGTGGCGCTGTTCTCAAACAAAGTCAGAACCATCGAGGAATGAAGCCCCTTCATACACATCCATGCATGGTAAAATCCATTCGCATCAACATCATTTTAATTCACAGAGACCTCTTACACAAACTGTAACAAACTATTTCGTTCAGTGAAATCTCAGTGTGAAAACTACAGGCACTGTCACCCATCCAGATGGCTCTGAGTTTCTGCAGATATATTGTATTTTGCCTACAAAAGGAAAGTGTCCATAAGGAAAAGGGCATTCAATGATCTTTAAGAAAGCAGGTCTCCTTACCCAGTGTGTGAGTCAGTATTTAAGCTGTGTGTCACAGTGCCCATCCCATTAGGAGGAGTCCATGCAAACTCAGAGGGCTTCCTGCCTCATTTATCTCACTGTGCTGGAGGAGAAACAGCTGAGAGTGTCGACTGTCTGGACTGAAGTGTCTCTACAAACCACAGTCTCAACAACAATGGCTTTTCTGGGTGCAATACTCTTAACAAGTACATATTTAACAGGTCAGTGTTATCAATGGTGGCTGAAAGGATACTAGTCCTTGCAATTCAAATTTTGATTAAATTCAAGCTTCTATGTTTCCAACAGGTGTTCATTCCAACATTGTGTTGACTGAGTCTGAACCTGCAGCGGTCCAGCCTGGAGGATCTCACAGACTGACCTGTACAGCCTCAGGATTCACATTCAGCAGTGCCTGGATGGATTGGGTCAGACAGGCTCCTGGGAAGGGACTGGAGTGGGTGGCCTATATAAACAGCAATGGGGGCACTAACTATGCCCAGTCTGTCCAGGGCAGATTCACCATCTCCAGAGACAATTCCAAAAACCAGCTGTACTTACAGATGAACAGCCTGAAGACTGAAGACACTGCTGTGTATTACTGTGCTTGGCAGATCCACAGTGAGAGAAGTGAAGCCTGAGCCCAGACCAAAACCCCTCAAGCCTAACAGGTTTCATTCACAGACAGGAAACCTGATGCTGCATGAGGACTTTCACTGTTTAACAGCTGAACCAAACAGCTGAGCAGTGAGTTTCCAGGGAGTGAACCTGTACGTCCTGTGATCTCTTGTCAATCCCAATCCCTCACATTCTCACCCCTGTTTTGAAACGAACATCTTGTGCTCACCCAGATAGTAGCCGAGCATGGGTGAAATCCGTCACATTAAAACCTGTTTCTAGCCTCACTTAAGAGTGCACCCAGACCATCATTGTAACCTCTCTACACATACAGTCCACAGCTGCACGACCAGGATTAAGTATGTAATATAGTATCTTGATATAGTGTAGCAGTGGAAATACTTTGTCCTCGTCAATTCCGGTTGGTCCGTCTCGCTCCTTTCCCGTCTTCCTTCTTGTCTGAGAGCCAACACGGAAACGACCGAACATCCCGCTCTCCGTGACCATATTCACCCGTGTCGAAGAAGCTCTCTACTAGGGGGTAAAGTATCCGAAGAAAGTCGAGCTGATGGCTGGCTATGCCCATGTAGACCCCACAATGAACTTCGCCAGGTTTAAAAATTAAACTTGTTTTATTCACTTTCACTTTGGTTTCGTCAAAAACAAAAGGAGAAGTTTTCCACAGCACCAAAGCTATTCCTCAAAGCTCAAGTAAACTAAACTCGCACCTACACAAGCACGTCAGAGGCCGTTGGGCTCTCACTTCCTCTCTGTTTTTTGAAAACGAAAACTTCTAGAGTTTACGTTAACGGACAGCGGCGATTGGCCGTCTTAAAGGCATACGCGCACTTTCCGGAAACAAAACATCGTAGTTTTCAAATAGTAGAACATCAACATATTTACAGGTTTGTTTTTAAAGTAATATTACCAAATTAAAACATCACATGCCTCCTACAGGGGGCCTCCTAGACACGGGTGAGTATGGTCATGGAGAGGGGGACGTTTGGTCGTTTCCGTGTTAACGACCTGGGGGTCATTAACCTTCTACTCCTTACCCGATGTCTCACCGTGAGACTGATTCTCTCCTGAAGCTCCCAACCCGGTCCACCCTGTTCTCTCCCTAGAGCAATCTGCCTGCGATATTGATCAATCCCCTGCGGGGGCTTTAGATGGAATCCCATGACAGTGAGGTCCAGCTACCCATTAGATAGATAGATAATACTTTATTAATCCCGTAGGGAAATTGATAAAGCCTCAACCTCTTGAGGTTGATAGCCAACCTCAAGAGCCTCCCACTGTCTTGGTGGCTCTGATTTCCCTGAGTCGACATGGTCTTACCACTCCTATACCTAATATAGCATTTGCCCTTATAGGAAGTCTGCCTTTGCACTGGTGAGGCCAGTTCTCCAATAATCTCAAGTATATGCAGTCAGGCTTCCTCCAAATATCTGGAGTGTTTCACCAACACCCTCTGGTAGAGTAACTTTTCTGGTAGAGTAACCTCTAACAAGATGTTAAGTCCGACACAATCCTGAGAGAAATTTGCGTAATAAAAAGAAACAAACAGAGGAATGACTTCAGGACAGAGAGTTGTTTGCCTTTGAAACAGTATTTTCCCATAGTGTTTTCTCCTGCTTGCTGTTCTACTTCATTGGTGGAATACATTTCCTATTTCTTAGGTCACTGGCCAGCAGAAAGGCCTCATTAGTACACGGTCAAAATGTTTTTTTAAACTTATTTCCTGACCTAGGAACAAGTAATAGCTTTATTCCATGCTGAAAAGAGAAGAAAGAAAGAAGAAAACACAATGATGAAGGCTCCACGGCCGAAAAGTTGTGTTTTCTTTCTTCTCGTTTCAGCATGGAATAAACCTATTATTCCTTTGCAGCCTATGCATGCTGACGCAGCTCCCCACCTGAACTACTATTTCCTGATCTATACCTGCACCTGCAGCCTGAGATCTATGTGCATTTAAGTAGTCATTGCAACATTCTTAATTATAGTATCTTATTACTACCACTGTTGTTGCCCAGATAACACCTCTGTCATTTACTGATATTTCCTTATGACCTGCAGTTATCTGAGGGAACTTCATGCCCAGACGAAAAACACCCACATCATGTTTCTCTGGGCCATGTGTAGGGAGACACCATAGAGCAGACACACACAGACACAAGACTTTCTTTTAAATACTTTATTGTCTGTCACATTCATCAAATCTTGACAAAATCAATGGAACTATAATCCATTAAAAATGTATGGACTGGAAATAAATGACAAAACACACATGGCTATTTGTATAAACATCTGAAAATAACACAGTCAAAACATGGAGATCAAAATATAAGGAAGATAATTCGAAAAAACATAGTTACAAATCAAATTGAATGATATTTCTAGTTCTATTTCAAATATACTGTATAAATCACATGAATCATACGTGATCATACGAATCACAGTAGTGTGCATCTTTATATTTAATAACATTAATTTTGTTAAATATATGTATATTTGAGAATGATAATGAAATAATTTACCCAGCAGAAGCGAACTCTCACTCCTAATGTCACTGAATTTTGCCACTCAGGTATTAAAAAGGCATTCAATGATCTTTAAGAAAACAGGTCTCCTTCCCCAGAGTGTGATTCAGTATTTAAGCTTTGTGTCACACTGCCCATCCCATGAGGAGGAGTCCATGCAAACTCAGAGGGCTTCCTGCCTCATTTATCTCACTGGGCTGGAGGAGAAACAGCTGAGAGTGTCGACTGTCTGGACTGAAGTGTGTCTACAGACCACAGTCTCAACCAGCAACAATGGCTTTTCTGATTGCAGTACTCTTAATAAGCATGTGTCTAAGAGGTGAGCAGACTTTTGAATAGTGGCAGAAAGGATATTAATTTCTGATCTTTTTTCAATTTTCCTTTTTGTTCCCTCAGGTGTTCAGTCCCAGATTGTGTTGACTGAGTCTGAACCTGCAGTTGTCCAGCCTGGAGGATCTCACAGACTGACCTGTACAGCCTCAGGATTCACATTCAGCAGCTATGAGATGCACTGGGTCAGACAGGCTTCTGGGAAGGGGCTGGAGTGGGTGGCCTTTATTAGCAGCGGTGGAGGCACCACAAACTATCCGGACTCTGTCAAGGGAAGATTCACCATCTCCAGAGACAATTCCAAGAATCAGCTGTACTTACAGATGAGCAGCCTGAAGACTGAAGACACTGCTGTGTATTACTGCGCTAAAGACCCACAGTGAGAGAAGTGAAGCCTGAGCCCTGACAAAAACCCTCAAGTGTAACAGGTTTCACATTCACAAACAGGAAGAATGACTCTGTATGAAGACTTTCACTGTTTAACAAGTGAGCTGAACAGCTGAAGTGAGAATCGTTAAGTCCTGTGATCTCACATCAAGACCAGGCCCTCATTCTCTCACACTTGGCTTGAAATAACCATCTATAGTCAAACAATCTCATTTTCTTCATGCACATTCATGATGTTATCAATTTCAATGGATGTAGTAAGAGATAGAATGAATTATCTTCAGGAAGGACAATATTTTCCCCTAGTGTGTGTCTCTAGATTTAGCTGTTTATGTCCCTTGAGGAAATAAACTGATGACTTACTATTAGAAATAAACCAGTAAGATCTCATTACATGTAGAGACCAAGCTTTTTTCTGGGTCAGTGTTTAATATCAGTAAATCTGCAGTGTGAAATGTGTGTGAATTGATGCGTTCAGTGTAACTCACTTATCTGAAGCACTTCATTATTGCCACTGTTGACAGTAGTTGTGGCAACAGCTTTGTTTTTTAGGAATAACCTGCACTTAAGTGAGGGAACTTCATAGCCAGAAGTTATGTCTAACTGAGCCATGTGGAGAGAGATACCACACTACATGCAGAAGAACTACAGTACATGAAACAAAACATAATGAAATACAATGTCTTAGAAATGTCATTCCTTGACATATATACAGTACAGTATGTTATTCTTAAATCTAACATCCTTGAAAAGAAATAATGTTAATCTACATACGTATGTGTGCGTATTTTTCAAACCTGGTGATAAACATGAAGAATGTGGTATTTAACATATTAAGAAGATCCTCTTATCCAATCATATGGTTCATTAAATGCTTAGATTGTACAGTTCATTAACCAGATGCTTATAGAAGTAGAGATAGAGGAGTTTATTGTCATGTAGACATGTACGATGTACATTCTTATTCGTGCTGATCTCTCAGGACATGCACTGTACAGCCGATGACAAAGTATAACAGGCAACACCATACAATAGGACAGTACATTACAAAATAATGCATAATAAATAGTCACAACAAGAACAATAAATATGTGGTAGAGAAAAAAAAAACATGGTAGTCCGAGTCAAAAGTGTATAGTGCAGATGTGTATTGAGTCAGAGGCATTCCAGTTAGCTGTTAAGGATGGGTACTGAAGTAAGGTAGAAGCTGTTCTTGAGTCTTTTGATCTGTGCTTTAATAGTGTGGTACCACTTGCCAGAGCACAGGGAGGAGAACAGTTTGTGACAGGGATGGTTGGCATCCTAATAGATGGATGGGGCTTTCATGAGACAGCGGATGGTGTGAATCTCAATGATTGATGGTAAATCACATCCTATAATCCGCTGTGCCATTGTCACAACTCCTTGTCGTGTAATAAATTAAAACGTTAACCATTCCTCCACACCTCTTTTTTAATGGCACCTTGTGGCACCTGTACAAAAGTTGTATCCTGCCCCTTTGACCCTCACATGTAAATTATTGGTTTGTCAAGACTAATTTACCCTGATTGGCTCATAACAAATTTAACTGAGCCTCTCTACACCAGAGAGGAAACAGCAGAGTCACATGCTGGTGACATGACCTCTGAACCTGGAAAACTGTCACAACCCAGCCACCACAACTATGACAATTGGTGGACTAAATAAATAAAATCATAACCTTACACTTCCAGTATATAGCACTTTTCTGGACACTCCACTCAAAGTGCTTTACAGGTAATGGGGATCCCCTCTACCACCACCTATGTGCAGCACCCACCTGGATGATGCGATAGCAGCCATAGTGCGCCAGAACGCTCACCACACATCAGCTATCAGTGGGGAGGAGAGCAGTGTAATGAAGCCAATGGGAAATTTGGCCAGGACACCGGGGTAACACCCCTACTCTTTTCGATAAACGCCCTGGGATTTTTAATGACCACAGAGAGTCAGGACCTCGGTTTTACGTCTCATCTGAAAGACGGCACCTGTTTACAGTATAGTGTCCCCGTCACTATACTGGGGCATTAAGACGCACACAGATCACAGGGTGAGCGCCCCCTACTGGTCCCCCTAACACCTCTTCCGGTAGCAACCTTAGTTTTTCCCAGGAGGTCTCTCATCCAGGTACTGACCAGACTCATACCTTCTTAGCTTCAGTGGGCTGCCTGTTGTGAGTTGCAGAGTGGTATTTTTTTTTCTGGCCATATTAAGCTGCTTCAGAGATTATTAGGAGGCCATGATTGGTAAAGACCAGGGGGAAATTCAAGACCAAAGTCTACAGACATCATATCTGGAGTAAGAGTCCTGATACTGATGATTTACGATGCAGCAGGATAACTACATTCCTTCAAACATTTTAAAATCTTAGAGGACATTTGCACTTGATTTAGAAACTCAGATTAGTACTGAAGGAGATGGAGAAATATACAAGATTACTCATAAAAGAAGTGGATAAAACCTAACAAGGGGTGAATGAATCCTCAAAGGACCATTTGAGACTCAAGGACTCTCTTCTGGTTCCTGATAGGCCAGTTCCTTAATTGTTTCATAAGATACCAGGCCCGAAACCTTCACCAAGACCTGGGAGCTCTCCTGCTCCCGTAGACGAGGTGTTCTTTGCACTGATATAGCCCTGATCCAGGCTGATATTAATCCTGACCTGATAGCAGCTCAAAGAGTGAGAGGAGCTCTGGCTGTGTTGAGATGGGTGACACGTGAGTTTGTGTTTCCTGGGTGTATAAAAGAGAGACTTGTCATGTCACCATGATTGCATGCAGTAGTAGTGGAGTACAGGGGTTCCCAGTCCTGGTTCAGAATGACCACAGAGCAGCTGCTTCTTCTTTCCAGCCCTGCTCACGTAACTCACTGAAGTCTTTATGGTGCTGATGATTGGAATTGATTGTCGCTGCTTGATTGGAATATCTGCAAGCTTAATTTTAACTCCGGTGTTTGGGATATTGCGTTCCTTCAGAAATCAGTGTTTAGAAGACTACCCTCAACACGTTTATGAGCCATAAACAATTACACCGTCCTGTTATTGATTCAATTAAGGGATTACGTTTATAACTGAGAGCTCAGCTGGAAACAAAATAATTAGGTGTATGGTATAATACAGTGTTCCCTGCAGGAGCAGGACCGGGGACCCCCTGCTGTAGACACAGCACCCCTTGCAGGACCAGGACTGGGGACCCTTGCTGTACACACAGTGCCCCCTGCAGGACCAGAACAGGAGACCCCTGCTGTAGACACAGCGCCCCCTGCAGGAGGAGGACTGGAGGATACTAGTATAGTATAGAACAGAATGTACAGGTATAGTAGTTGTATAGTACAGTATATAATAAGATAATAGTTATAGAAGTAGTATAGTATACAGTAGTACTTATAAGAAAGTATAGTGGATAGCAGTATGTACACTAGTTGTTGGGTCCTGAAATGAAATATGTGCATATTTCTGGCCATGCAAGTAAACTTAGAACTGTATTTCACATGTTTATTTAAAATCTATTTTAGAGTAGCAGTAAAACTTTAGAGCTGGAAGTGATGCAATTGTGCATCGTTTTATAGATTCACGTTGTATTGTATAAAAAACAACCACCACCGCTTCAATATAGTGATTATCACTACGTGTTGAGAACCACTAGGGGGCAGCAGTCACTCACGACAATGCAGCCGCTGCAATAAAACGGCACTGCAGAGCTCCCAAGTGAAGCATCTACATTAACACACATGATACAGGGTACATAAACTGTGAGGTGCAGGTGAGTGAATGCTGTACAATAACAATAATATACTTTTATGTGTTTTACATTGTAAAATAATATATATGTACAGTATACTCATACAGAACATCACAATAGACAACACGATGGATTTGAAGCACCTAGAGCAACAGTACAGTGTTGTTCTGAAAACTAAACTTTTTGCATTTACAATTCTAAAAGCTTTGAAGTTCCATAAGCATGCATAGCTACAACCTAGATGAAATTCAAACAAAAAGCAAGCTATCCCTTGCAAAAAGATTGAAGAAGTCAATACTAAATCAACTCTTATTAAATACCTTTCTCAGGGACAAATGCTAAATCTGTTCCTGAATTCCCATTTCTATTATCCACATCTTTCATGTATAGTACTGTATGTAACCACTCAGAATCCAAATTTAGGCATGGTAGTTTCAATCAGATTAGAATGAATCTGAACATAATATGTAAAATAAAATTGGGACTGTGATAGCAGTGAGCATCAGCTGAAGGAATATAACAGCTTCACAGTAGTTTGCATTGCATGCAAATCAACATCTGTTTCCTGTATATAACTGACAGCATCCTCACTCTCTAACAGTGAAGCTGCAGTTCCTCAGGAGAGAGACTGTGTGCAGTTTTACACCATGACTCACCTCAGTGTCCTGTGTTTTCTTCTGCTGGGAGTGTCAGGTAAAATCTCTGTTCTGTGTCACTTTTGGGTCATGAGCTTCATTCACAGTGGTGAATCCTGAGCCGATGTCTGTTTGTTTCCACAGCTGTTACAGCCCAGTCCAGCATCACACTGACCCAGCCTGCCTCTGCAGATTTGAAGAAGCCAGGAGAGTCTGTGAAACTGTCCTGCCAGGTGTCTGGGTTCCCAATAGGCAGTGATTATAAAGGCTGGATCCGACAGGCTCCTGGGAAAGGGCTGGAGTGGTTGACCAGTTACTATAATGAAGGCAACAAGTACTATGCCTCTTCAGTCCAAGGACGTTTCACTGCCTCCATGGACACCTCCTCCAGCACCTTCTTCTTACAAATGAACGACCTGAGAGCTGAAGACACAGCTGTGTATTACTGTGCGCGAGACACGGTTACAAGACTGAACCAAGAGGCCTTACAGAAACCTGCCCTTAAGACTGAGCCTCTCTATACACCACAGGAAACATCTGAACATCATACATTCCTAAATACGTGGCAGTGAATATTGAATTATATACATTAATGGAGATTTGAAACTGAACTTTGGGAGGTCAACTCC